TCAACGAGAGGCGCCATCGTTAACACAGTTACAACTTATCAAAGTGACAAGTGAATGCAATCCCCTTGATCAATTTTCTGTCCAATCGTTGTGGCTACGTTGACAGCATACTTACACAATGATTTAGATCTTATTTTTTCGATAAAACATTTTTTATAGTGTCATTACATAGTTAAATAATTTTTTTGGCATAGAAACATTATTTCAGCTCTCATCAGATTTTTGTTTTCCTTAATAAAATTTTAGATATAATGAAACTGATGCACGTAATTTTCCTCGTAATCATTACCTATTTAATGCGTACATATGTTCGTCATTTACCTCGACTATTTTCGTCTGATAAGAGGGATTTAGTGTCGAGATATCCCTTTGACGCGTCTGTTCTAAGCAATGACCGTATCTACAATTTAAGTGAGGCTCACTTTAGCATTGAACAGCAAAAGTATGCTCTTATCCGGGCCTGATTGCAAGAGCATCTTTTTTTATAATTGGTTTTGAATAGTCATTCCTAAAAACATACTTAGCCAATAGTCTACTATAGTGATTTAAGCATACTTTAGGTTTCTCTGCTATTCCCTAATTTATTGTTTCACACTTTCTTTTTTCGTTATCGTGATCAGGCCCTCAATCTGCTTCGCCTATACCCAATCGACATACAGCTTTAAAGCCGTTAAAGCTTACGAAAACAGGCTACAAGGTGGACTCACATGGAACCGATAATAGCCAGATGAAAGCATGTGTCTCTCCAAACTATCCCTGTAAAGACGAACCTAACATACGCGACGAACCGTGTCGCATCTCTGACCTAGATACCGATTCACACCAGGTCGCCGAAATCTCGCCAAGCGTCGGCATCGCATCTGGTCTTATCACTAGTTCTGAACAAAAGCTCGGCACCAACATGTCGCCGCGGTGCGCACTTATATATCCCAAGGTAGTCAATCAAGTTCCACCTTCAGATGTAGACATGACAGAAAAATCTGCATCGCATTTTGCTTCCTCATATGCTACTGACCAATCGGATGTATCGTCTGTAAAGGAAGTTGAAAAGGAAGGCTTAATCAGCACTTCAATAAAAGATAACCAAAAGGAGTCTAAAGACAGTACAGGGACACAAATGAGGCTTGATTGTCAAGAGAATATAGTTTTTGATCCTGCCGATTTTCAAGACACAAATTACATTAAGAATGATTGTGAGGAAGGGGAAAAGGAGGAACATCAAGACCATGAAAACGAAGACGAAGAGAGGATTTCCGTTCACTCATTGTTGGATGACGACACCACATCGAATGGGACTATGCCGATGACAGGTCAACTATTTCGTGAAGATGGTCGATTTTTAGATTTAAGTATGCCGATTGTTTCTCCAGTATCCGATCCGGATCGAGATTTAGTTAATCCTGATATAGGAGGAAACGATGTCGAGCAGACGGAGTTCGAACCAAGTTCTGAGGAGATAAAAGAGGGTAGATTGACTAATAAATCAATGATTGTCAATGACCTGACTATTGAAATCGAAGACGAAGATGATAATGAAAGGGGAGATGAAAAAAGTGAAGCAGATGGAGGAAATGAAGATGAAGAAGAAAATGGGAACTTTATGGCAAGTATAGGGCCCAGAGGAGAGTCCAGTCGGCGAGCAAGAGTCAGATATGCTCGCGCCTACTCTCTACGTGGACGTCATGCTCATTCAGTCGAGGCTTGTGGTGACGAGCATGGCGCAATGACTGTCAATCTCTCAAGGAGTAAATGTGAGTCCACAGCTGAGAGAGACAGCGATGATGTGATCTTTCGAAACAGATTTAATATTCAGTTTCATGAAGGCAGACGAAACCGGGTTCCATGCGATGGCGGTGGGTCCGGCAATGGAACCTATCAATTAGGCATGTCTCAAATATCAAATGAATCTGATGATATGATTCCCCATGATACAGGACAAATTCAGGCACCAGAATATCAACAAATGTCACGGAATCGTAGAAATAGAGCACGGGGCGGTAATTTATGTCGATTCTTCGAAACTAACAGAAGTCGTGTTGTAATAAGTCAGAGCCATGGCTCGGACGTTCGAACTGACAGTGGCAGAAGCTCATCGGATGAAAGTGCTGGGGAGGAGCTCGAGATTGGTGGGGAGGATGAAGAAGAGGAAGGGGGTGATGACGTGGGAGTAAACTGTGATGATGACGATGCAACACTGGAAGAAGGAATGACAAAAGGTAATGATGGTATAGAGGAGGATCAAGATCAAGAGGATAACGAGAAGGACGATGAAGACCGAGAAGAAAGTGACTTATCTGATGCTGATGAGGACAAAGGGGCCGGCCGATTATCAAAAACTGGAAGATCGAAGTCTTCCGTTCAGCCAGCTCGCTATAGACGATCCCAGCTTAAAGCCGCTTCGCCGACCGACTCAGTTTACGGTCGTCGTCGGAGGCAAATTCAAAGTTTCAAGGAACAGGTGAGTGATGTGTACAGGATTGTAACACCATTCGAAGTTTGACCAAAGATCTATTCTTTTTAAGATCCTGTTATATATTTGTTCCCAGCATAGAATCATTATTCTCCTCGTCATGGTTTTCTGTAGCTCAGATGTGCGTCGTTCAATTTTAGTTTTTATCTTTCTTCCAAGCCTACTATAGCTGATTCATTCATTTTACAGAGACTATTTATATTTGTTCATTGGCTGCCTCACGGAATCATATGTTATATATTTTCATCTTTGTTTGATTGAAACGCTATGGGTAAACTTTGAATTGTGTAGAGGTTGTTTGACCTTGTTTTCGCCACTTGGTTATATTGGTAGGAAGACTTAGATGAACGGACCTAGTCTGGAGTCCAGTGTATGCTTCATAATTTCCAGAATAGGACCGTGGACGTGGTACATTCGCAGACGTTTCGCCGGCATCGTCAGTCAGTCTCGCCATTAGTAGCACCATATTACAACTCGTCAAAGAGACAAGTGAAGCCGATCCTTTGACCAACCGTGTGCTAAACAGTTATGGTATCTCCCCTTCTGCCAGCAGTATCACAACATTTGTGGGTTGGCACACAAGCAACTAGGGCATGGCAAGTCATAGACTTTGTATTAGGGATAGAGACAGGATAGACGAGGCGGCGATTGGTGAATGGCGAGACTAACTGACGATGCCGGCGAAACGTCTAGGAATGTACCACGTCCACGGTTCGACTTTGAAAATAATTATGCATACAATGGACTCAGGACAAGGTGCGTTTCTCAAAGTCTTCCTACCAATATGACCAAGTTGAGAAAAAGAAGGTTAAGCAACTTCTATACAACAAAAGGAGACTGCGACCACAGAAAAAGCCACACCATCTTGGTCTTCATACCTTCAATATATGTCTCAATCTACCGATTTTCTGGTCTATGTGGTTTACATC